ATTTTAAGTTGAGTAAAGAACAATATCCACATGATGAATCTAATATCAAATACATGCAAAAAGTGTCTTATGCTAATGCTGGTGGATTTGTTATGTATACTATGGTGTGTACTAAACATATAGATGTTATGATGCATTGCATTAGAGATATAGTTCAAAAATAGTTCATATTGGTTGAAAAAATCCTTATACAATTTAATCCCGCTGATATGGGAACAAAGGTACTTCCTCTTACCGAATTTGAATCATATTTACAAATTCTAAGAATTGATACTGTTTGAACTTTGTTTTTTTTCTGCAGGTGCTGTTTTCTTATTGATGCTAATAAAACAATGATATTTTTTATGTGTTGCATATAACATTGGCATCATGGAAGAGATTTGATGGGTTGTGATGTCATAGTCCACTGGGCAATGATGAAACTGGGCTTGGCCAATTTGTTCGAATAATTTACCATTGCCTGATAACACAAGAAAAGGCTAAAACCTAATCCAATTAAACTTACATGTGTACTGCTCTGGTCCCTTGATCTGTGGCTTGATCAATGGTGGTGGATCTATGTATTTATGGAGCTTGGATCGTCATTTGGTGGGCATTATTCATTATGTTCTTTCTGTTCGAAGCTTCTGGGTTCTCTGTGACTTCATTTTCTTCATTCATTTTTCTGATTCTTTGTGTATAGTTCAAACCTTTTGGTTTTGTTTTAGATCTGTGTGATTAGATTCTTAGTGAGTTTTCAGTTGAGGGATTTGAGGTGTTTTGATTAGTTGTTTGATCTTGGTCCATTGTAGTAGCTGCGGTGGTTCAATTTATTTAGGATTTGGGTCTTTGTGGTCGTTTTCTTGTACAAAAGGGTACAATGATTTGATTCTGAGCCCTATTTGATAATCAATCCCTTGGTGTTATTGGATTTTGGGTATTCTTGGTGAATTTGATTTTCTGCTTTTGTTGTGATTTTATTCTACAGAAGAGGTACCGGGAAGTTTGAACTTCATTGGTAGCACTAAAAGTACAATTTGGATAATTCACAACTTTTCAGATCAAATTCTATTTTGGAGAACTACTTGAACATCCTCAAAACTTTGGAGGATCGAAGTCGGAAAAATAGAAGTTGAAGGACCAGATGAAAGAGTTTAAAAGACGAAGGATCATTTCAGAGGTAACTAGAAGTGGTAGGACCTAATTGGAACTATTTCAAGTTGAAGGGGGGACCAAAAGTGTAAGAAAACCCATTCTAAGGTACTAGACCAGTACAAACACAGTGGATCATGGACCAAACGTACAATCTTTGTAGATGAAGGACCTGAGTTGAAATTTCTAGCCACGTAGGTCACAACTGGATGGCCCATGTGCAAATCTTGTACGGGCACTGGTTATTGAAGTTTAGCGACATTTGATGTCCCTTTTCAGATGTGATTTGGAAACTTTATTTTCAGAATTTTTGTCTATCCATGCACAATTTTAAGTCTTCTTGAGACCTTTATAAATTAGAAAATCCTCATAATATTTTCTATATTTTTTTACTATATAAACTCTCATGTATATTTTTTTTATAGTAAATTAAAACTGTGGGCTTTTGTGGTTCTCCTAACCCATTTGGCTGACCCAGTTTGTGCTACATTCAATTTTGGCCTTTGGATAAATTGGATGGTTGAGATTCTTTCTTGTGAGATATTTTTCTTTGGCTTGACTTTTGGTACATTCTCACGTGGGTTTTGGCTTCTAGAAGACGCTTCCTCTTTCTCTCTTCGATAAAGCCCTCTCCTCTCTGTTGACTCTCTTCTTCCTTCTCCACTTTGGTTGTACCCTAAAATCGACCTTGGTTAACCTTACCTATGTAAACTTAGGCCTGAAATAGTGGCTAAGTATTGGTTCGTTCTTGTGGGTTTATGTCAGATTTAGAGGGTGTTCTTGGCTGCTATTGGTAGACCGATTGGTCGATGATCCAAGGCAAGTGTTGGTTGGTTCTGGTCGATTTTCTAGCTCTCTATGGACGGTGATTTGCATAGCATGGAAGGCCATTCCTGAGCCTAAACATTCAGCCATTATACAGGGAAGAAAGGCTCCAGTTTATTTGCCTGTCATTTTCTGTTTCTATGTCCATTTATGATATTCGTTATGAAATGTTTTAGTATGTGTTTTGATCATGAAATTATAGACAGTAAGCTGGACATTGTGGTTTCTTGATATTCTTGAACTCTGTTATTATGCTATTGGTATCTATGTTATAATATTTTCCCAACATCTGGTATCAGAGCTAGATTTTTGTATCTAGGGTTTGATTGCATCCTTCATTTGATCTGTTAATTAGGGTTCACTGTTTTTGGGCATTTTAGGGTTTCTAATTCGA